TTTCCCCATCAGTTTCCCCATCAGTTTGCCCATCAGTTTCCCATCAGTTTCCCCATCAGTTTCCCCATCAATTTCCCATCAGTTTCCCCATCAGTTTCCCCATCAGTTTCCCCATCAGTTTCCCCATCAGTTTCCCCATCAGTTTCCCCATCAGTTTCCCCATCAGTTTCCCCATCAGTTTCCCCATCAGTTTCCCCATCAGTTTCCCCATCAGTTTCCCCCATCAGTTTCCCCGTCAATTTCCCATCAGTTTCCCCATCAGTTTCCCATCAGTTTCCCCATCAGTTTCCCCATCAGTTTCCCATCAGTTTCCCCATCAGTTTCCCCTCAGTTTCCCCTCAGTTTCCCCATCAGTTTCCCCATCAGTTTCCCCATCAGTTTGCCCATCAGTTTCCCATCAGTTTCCCCATCAGTTTCCCCATCAGTTTCCCCATCAGTTTCCCCATCAGTTTCCCCATCAGTTTCCCCATCAGTTTCCCCATCAGTTTCCCCATCAGTTTCCCCCATCAGTTTCCCCGTCAGTTTCTCCCATCAATTTCCCATCAGTTTCCCCATCAGTTTCCCATCAGTTTCCCCATCAGTTTCCCCATCAGTTTCCCATCAGTTTCCCCATCAGTTTCCCCTCAGTTTCCCATCAGTTTCCCCATCAGTTTCCTCATCAATTTCCTCCATCAGTTTCCTCCATCAGTTTCCCCATCAGTTTCCCCATCAGTTTCCCCATCAGTTTCCCCTTCAGTTTCCCATGAGTTTCCCCATCAGTTTCCCCATCAGTTTCCCCATCAGTTTCCCCATCAGTTTCCCCATCTGTTTCCCCATCAGTTTCCCCATCAGTTTCCCATCAATTTCCCCATCAGTTTCCCCATCAATTTCCCATCAGTTTCCCATCAGTTTCCCCATCAGTTTCCCATCAGTTTCCCCATCAGTTTCCCCATCAGTTTCCCATCAGTTTCCTCCATCAGTTTCCTCCATCAGTTTCCTCCATCAGTTTCCTCCATCAGTTTCCCATCAGTTTCCCCATCAGTTTCCCATCAGTTTCCCCATCAGTTTCCCCATCAGTTTCCCATCAGTTTCCCCATGAGTTTCCCCATCAGTTTCCCATGAGTTTCCCCATCAGTTTCCCCATCAGTTTCCCCATCAGTTTCCCCATCAGTTTCCCCATCAGTTTGCCCATCAGTTTCCCATCAGTTTCCCCATCAGTTTCCCCATCAATTTCCCATCAGTTTCCCCATCAGTTTCCCCATCAGTTTCCCCATCAGTTTCCCCATCAGTTTCCCATCAGTTTCCCATCAGTTTCCCATCAGCTTCCTCCATCAGTTTCCCCATCAGTTTCCCCATCAGTTTGCCCATCAGTTTCCCATCAGTTTCCCATCAGTTTCCTCCATCAGTTTCCTCCATCAGTTTCCCATCAGTTTCCCCATCAGTTTCCCATCAGTTTCCCCATCAGTTTCCCCATCAGTTTCCCATCAGTTTCCCCATCAGTTTCCCCATCAGTTTCCCATGAGTTTCCCCATGAGTTTCCCCATCAGTTTCCCCATCAGTTTCCCCATCAGTTTCCCCATCAGTTTCCCCATCAGTTTCCCCATCAGTTTCCCCATCAGTTTCCCCATCAGTTTCCCATCAGTTTCCCCATCATTTTCCCCATCAATTTCCCATCAGTTTCCCCATCAGTTTCCCCATCAGTTTCCCCATCAGTTTCCCCATCAGTTTCCCCATCAGTTTCCCATCAGTTTCCCATCAGTTTCCTCCATCAGTTTCCCCATCAGTTTCCCCATCAGTTTCCCATCAGTTTCCCATCAGTTTCCCATCAGTTTCCCCATCAGTTTCCCCATCAGTTTCCCCATCAGTTTCCCCATCAGTTTCCCATCAGTTTCCCCATCAGTTTCCCCATCAGTTTCCTATCAGTTTCCCATCAGTTTCCCCATCAGTTTCCCCATCAGTTTCCCCATCATTTTCCCTATCAGTTTCCCATCAGTTTCCCATCAGTTTCCCCATCAGTTTCCCCATCAGTTTCCCCATCGGTTTCCCCATCGGTTTCCCCATCAGTTTCCCCATCAGTTTCCCCATCAGTTTCCCCATCAGTTTCCCATCAGTTTCCCATCAGTTTCCCATCAGTTTCCCTATCAGTTTCCCCATCAGTTTCCCCATCAGTTTCCCCATCAGTTTCCCATCAGTTTCCCCATCAGTTTCCCCATCAGTTTCCCCATCAGTTTCCCATCAGTTTCCCCATCAGTTTCTCATCAGTTTCCCCATCAGTTTCCCATCAGTTTCCCCATCAGTTTCCCCATCAGTTTCCCCATCAGTTTCCCCATCAGTTTCCCATCAGTTTCCCATCAGTTTCCCATCAGTTTCCCATCAGTTTCCCCATCAGTTTCCCCATCAGTTTCCTATCAGTTTCCCATCAGTTTCCCCATCAGTTTCCCCATCAGTTTCCCCATCAGTTTCCCCATCAGTTTCCCCATCAGTTTCCCATCAGTTTCCCCATCAGTTTCCCCATCAGTTTCCCCATCAGTTTCCCCATCAGTTTCCCCATCAGTTTCCCCATCAGTTTCCCCATCAGTTTCCCCATCAGTTTCCCCATCAGTTTCCCATCAGTTTCCCCATCAGTTTCCCCATCAGTTTCCCCATCAGTTTCCCCATCAGTTTTTCCATCAGTTTCCCCATCAGTTTCCCCATCAGTTTCCCCATCAGTTTCCCCATCAGTTTCCCCATCAGTTTCCCATCAGTTTCCCATCAGTTTCCCATCAGTTTCCCTATCAGTTTCCCCATCAGTTTCCCCATCAGTTTCCCCATCAGTTTCCCATCAGTTTCCCCATCAGTTTCCCCATCAGTTTCCCCATCAGTTTCCCATCAGTTTCCCCATCAGTTTCTCATCAGTTTCCCATCAGTTTCCCCCATCAGTTTCCCCATCAGTTTCCCATCAGTTTCCCCATCAGTTTCCCCATCAGTTTCCCCATCAGTTTCCCCATCAGTTTCCCCATCAGTTTCCCCATCAGTTTCCCATCAGTTTCCCCCATCAGTTTCCCCATCAGTTTCCTCATCAGTTTCCCCATCAGTTTTTCCATCAGTTTCCCCATCAGTTTCCCCATCAGTTTCCCCATCAGTTTCCCCATCAGTTTCCCCATCAGTTTCCCCCATCAGTTTCCCCATCAGTTTCCCCATCAGTTTCCCATCAGTTTCCCCCATCAGTTTCCCCATCAGTTTCCCATCAGTTTCCCCATCAGTTTCCCCATCAGTTTCCCCCATCAGTTTCCCATCAGTTTCCCATCAGTTTCCCCATCAGTTTCCCCATCAGTTTCCCCATCATTTTCCCATCAGTTTCCCCATCAGTTTCCCCATCAGTTTCCCCATCAGTTTCCCCATCAGTTTCCCCATCAGTTTCCCCATCAGTTTCCCATCAGTTTCCCCATCAGTTTCCCCATCAGTTTCCCCATCAGTTTCCCCATCAGTTTCCCCATCAGTTTCCCATCAGTTTCCCCATCAGTTTCCCATGAGTTTCCCCATCAGTTTCCCATCAGTTTCCCCATCAGTTTCCCATCAGTTTCCCCATCAGTTTCCCCATCAGTTTCCCCATCAGTTTCCCCATCAGTTTTTCCATCAGTTTCCCCATCAGTTTCCCCATCAGTTTCCCCATCAGTTTCCCCATCAGTTTCCCCATCAGTTTCCCATCAGTTTCCCATCAGTTTCCCATCAGTTTCCCTATCAGTTTCCCCATCAGTTTCCCCATCAGTTTCCCCATCAGTTTCCCATCAGTTTCCCCATCAGTTTCCCCATCAGTTTCCCCATCAGTTTCCCATCAGTTTCCCCATCAGTTTCTCATCAGTTTCCCCATCAGTTTCCCATCAGTTTCCCCATCAGTTTCCCCATCAGTTTCCCCATCAGTTTCCCCATCAGTTTCCCATCAGTTTCCCATCAGTTTCCCATCAGTTTCCCATCAGTTTCCCCATCAGTTTCCCCATCAGTTTCCCCATCAGTTTCCCCATCAGTTTCCCCATCAGTTTCCCCATCAGTTTCCCCATCAGTTTCCCATCAGTTTCCCCATCAGTTTCCCCATCAGTTTCCCCATCAGTTTCCCCATCAGTTTCCCCATCAGTTTCCCATCAGTTTCCCCATCAGTTTCCCATGAGTTTCCCCATCAGTTTCCCATCAGTTTCCCCATCAGTTTCCCCATCAGTTTCCCATCAGTTTCCCCCATCAGTTTCCCCATCAGTTTCCCATCAGTTTCCCCATCAGTTTCCCCATCAGTTTCCCCATCAGTTTCCCCATCAGTTTCCCCATCAGTTTCCCCATCAGTTTCCCATCAGTTTCCCCCATCAGTTTCCCCATCAGTTTCCCCATCAGTTTCCCCATCAGTTTTTCCATCAGTTTCCCCATCGGTTTCCCCATCAGTTTCCCCATCAGTTTCCCCATCAGTTTCCCCATCAGTTTCCCCCATCAGTTTCCCCATCAGTTTCCCCATCAGTTTCCCATCAGTTTCCCCCATCAGTTTCCCCATCAGTTTCCCATCAGTTTCCCCATCAGTTTCCCCATCAGTTTCCCCCATCAGTTTCCCATCAGTTTCCCTTCAGTTTCCCCATCATTTTCCCATCAGTTTCCCCATCAGTTTCCCCATCAGTTTCCCCATCAGTTTCCCCATCAGTTTCCCCATCAGTTTCCCCATCAGTTTCCCATCAGTTTCCCCATCAGTTTCCCCATCAGTTTCCCATCAGTTTCCCATCAGTTTCCCCATCAGTTTCCCATCAGTTTTCCCATCAGTTTCTCCATCAGTTTCCCCATCACTTTCCCCATCAGTTCCCCCCATCACTCAATGCATTGCCTTCCGCTGCTGAGCGCCCTCATTCCAGGCGCGGCCCACCAGTGGGGTTGGAGGGGCGCATGGTGGTGCTGCTGGAGGAGAACCCCCACCATGTGGGAGTGCGCTTTGACAAGCCCATCCCTCTGCGTCCTTCAACTCCTTTCCCTACTCAATTCACTCCCTTCTCTTGTTGTGCTGATCATGCCAGGCGCGGCCCACCAGTGGGGCTCAAGGGCCGCGTGGTGGTGGTGCTGGAGGAAAACCCTCACCGGGTGGGCGTGCGCTTTGACAAGCCCATCCCAGGCGGCAGCAGTCTGGTGGACGTGTGCGATGAGGGGCACGGCGCATGGTGCCACGGTACGTAGGCTGGCATGTGGGCCAGCTCAGAGGTAGATATTGATGCATACAAGTGAAGTGCGTGGTTCTTGGTGTCATGTGAGAGTAGATGTGACAATCCCATCCGTTGCGGCAGCAGTGTGGGGGACGTGCTTCCAAATGTCGGAGGTGAGGAGGGTGTGGCGTTTGAGTTGACTCAAGAGCAACCTCTTTGTGCCCACTACCGCACACACACTCGTCTCCCTCTTTCCCCGCCCCCAATGCCCTTGGGTAGTGCCCGAGCGGATGCTGGAGGGGAGGGGCATTTGATTTGCGCCATTCCTCCCGCCTCCCCATAACATACCCTGGACAAGTTGGTTTCGAGGATTCTAAAAACGAAAAATCAGTTCAACCTCTCCCCCATACCCCTCTCCCCCATACCCCTGCGTTGCTCAGTGTCGGAGCTGCGGCTGGAGGGGGCTGCAGCAGACGACGCGGAGAAGCAGCTGGTGGACCACTGCATGGCGGTGAGTGGACCACTGCATGGCGGTGAGTGGGTGGGGTGGGGGTCAGTGAGGGGCAGTAAGGGCATGGGGGTGAGTGGTAGCATGGGGGTGAGTGGTGGCATGGGGGTGAGTGGTAGCATGGGGGTGAGTGGTAGCATGGGGGTGAGTGGTAGCATGGGGGTGAGTGGTAGCATGGGGGTGAGTGGTGGCATGGGGGTGAGTGGTAGCATGGGGGTGAGTGGTAGCATGGGGGTGAGTGGTAGCATGGGGGTGAGTGGTAGCATGGGGGTGAGTGGTTGCATGGGAGTGAGTGGTAGCATGGGGGTGAGTGGTTGCATGGGAGTGAGTGGTAGCATGGGGGTGAGTGGTAGCATGGGAACAAGGAGGGGGCAGAGGGTGGCTGAGGCACAGGAGGGGGCAGAGGGTGGCTGAGGCAACAAGGGAAGTTAAGAAGAAGGCAGGAAGCAGAACGCAAGCAGATGATGGCATAGCTGTATCTCCGACAGCTGTCACCGAATATGCACGGTTGTGCATATAAGGTGCCAGTGATGTTGTGGTGTAGCGCTGGTGTAGTAATGTGCTGTATGCAGATTCGAGGCTAGGTAGGTGGGGGGGCCTGGGAAATTGTCGCGAGGTTGGGAGTAGGAGAGCACCAAGGGGTGAAATCCATGCAACCAATGGGAACGAACCAACCCAGGCTCGAGCCGCACATTGAGAAATGCACGGTTCGAGCCTGGGCCAGGTAAAGTCACTCTCACACACACACACAATGCTTTCCGTTTGTTATCCTTTCGTATAGTGGATTGTTGTTGCCTTAGCCGTGCAGACAGGTGGCACACCACTCAGGGAGGACCTTTGAGGTAAGAGTATTTTTCTTTCATAACAAACGGAAAGGGAGTGCGCGTACAAGCATGGACGTGTACGAGCTGCGTTACGGCCGGAATTACGGTCGCCGTGAGGTGTCACCGAATAGATTGTTAGTTGCAATATATTCAGTTACTCGCTAGTGTAGGTGTAGTTGGGGTATTCGAAGCACTGTAGAAGGAGAGTTCGGTGCGTGGGCAGTAACGCAGAGTGGTGACCGAGGGACTTGCGAGGCGCAGGGTGGGACAAATTCAAGGGCGAGCCCTGGGCAATCCGAAGGGCCAATCCTGAAGCCTAGCGGGCGGAGCCCAATGTGACTTACGGGAACTGCACGGCACGGGGTAGAGATTCAAATAGGCTAGGAACTCACTGCTTAGTTCGTTCTCTCGTTTGTTTGCTCGTAATAGTGGATATAGGTTGCCATTTGACAGCTAACTCCAGCTTAGGCGACTAAGCCACTGTGGGCAGCCATTCGTGGGGGAGGCAGAATCTCTCACAAACGAGAGAACAAGATCGGCAGTATGGACTGCCATGAGCTGCGGTGGCAGCAGACGTACTCGCGGCGGGAGATACCGTCGTCACGAAGGATGCGCTCAAAGGAGCGCGGAAGAGCGTCAGGTCGCTCGCCTAACAGAGAGGCGGATCGGCCGGATTGGATGGCGACCAGTGACGGACTGCACGGTGAAGGCGAGCTCGGTCTGCAGATGAGATCGGCGCCAGGACCCCAGCCGTCGAAGAGCGATCCCTGGGATCTGGCAAGAGGCCAGCGGGGCGCTGGAGTAAGGCGTCAGGAGGACGCAGATGAGACGGAGTCGCTGACGTCAGCAAACGAGGCCGGCGGCGAGGAGTCGGCGGAGGATTACCTAAAGGACGCGCCGGGCAGCATGTGCAAGGCAGGCGAGAGGGGTCACGGAGAAAAACGCGAAGAGCGAGGGAAGGCGACAGATGCAGATCGCGCACCAGAGGAGATGCGCGGAGGTGACGTGAGGCGCCAGGGGAGCCGCGCGGATGCAGATCACGCACCAGAGGAGATGCGCGGAGGTGACGTGAGGCGCCAGGGGAGCCGCGCGGATGCAGATCGCGCACCAGAGGAGATGCGCGGAGGTGACGTGAGGCGCCAGGGGAGCCGCGCGGATGCAGATCGCGCACCAGAGGAGATGCGCGGAGGTGACGTGAGGCGCCAGGGGAGTCGCGCGGATGCAGATCGCGCACCAGAGGAGATGCGCGGAGGTGACGTGAGGCGCCAGGGGAGCCGCGCGGATGCAGATCGCGCACCAGAGGAGATGCGCGGAGGTGACGTGAGGCGCCAGGGGAGTCGCGCGGATGCAGATCGCGCACCAGAGGAGATGCGCGGAGGTGACGTGAGGCGCCAGGGGAGTCGCGCGGATGCAGATCGCGCACCAGAGGAGATGCGCGGAGGTGACGTGAGGCGCCAGGGGAGTCGCGCGGATGCAGATCGCGCACCAGAGGAGATGCGCGGAGGTGACGTGAAGCGCCAGGGGAGCCGCGCGGATGCAGATCGCGCACCAGAGGAGATGCGCGGAGGTGACGTGAGGCGCCAGGGGAGTCGCGCGGATGCAGATCGCGCACCAGAGGAGATGCGCGGAGGTGACGTGAGGCGCCAGGGGAGCCGCGCGGATGCTGATTGCGCACCAGAGGAGATGCGAGAAGGTGACGTGAGGCGCCAGGGGAGTCGCGCGGATGCAGATCGCGCACCAGAGGAGATGCGCGGAGGTGACGTGAGGCGCCAGGGGAGTCGCGCGGATGCAGATCGCGCACCAGAGGAGATGCGCGGAGGTAACATGAGGCGCCAGGGGAGTCGCGCGGATGCAGATCGCGCACCAGAGGAGATGCGCGGGAGTGGCACGGGGCGCCAGGGGAGCCGCACGGATGCAGATCGTGCGCCAGAGGAGGTGCGCGGGAGTGGCATGAGGCGTCGCGGGAACATGGCGGCAGATAACGCGGCAGCTGGGCGTCGAGAAGATGAGGGTCGATGTCATGAACCCGCAGAAGCGTATCGCTCGCCCGAGCCAAGGCAAGGCCATGAGAGAAGGAGGCGCATGGCGATGGGCGGATGGCGATCGCCGGAGAGGCAGGAAGAGGAAGCAGAAGAAGATTATGAGGAAAGGCGCGAGCTGCGCTCGCCAGCACGGGGGCGGAGTCACCAGGGGGAGGCGCGGGTCAGGAGTGGTGACCGTTCGTCGCCAGGCACCTCGAGAGCAGATGCAAGAGTGAGCTGGGAAGGAAGGGAAGTGCACCCACGAGGAAGGGCAGAGGCTGTGAAGGATTTGGGAGGAGAGGCAAAGAGGCGACAAGAGAGAGAGGGACGAATCAGGAAGAGCGAGGGAGAGTGCTATCGCCGTGAGCTATCACCAGGTGAGGAGGCTGGAAGAGAGGAGCATAGCCGCCAAGAATGGGGAGAGCGGGAGAGGCGTCGCAGGGAAAATTCGCCTAAAAGGGAGGACGGGCAGAGGGGAGGTTCAGAAAGGCGAAGGAAGGCGTATGAGAATGAACGGGGAAGAAGCCCGAGTCCGGTGTGGTATAGGAGGCCGCAGCAGTCATGGGAGGGCTCTAGGGAAGCGAGGGCGGCCAGAGAGGGCATCAACCGCATCCTGTATGGAACAGGAGAGAGGGGTAGGGAGACAAGGAAAGCAGCTGAAGAGATGAAAGGGAGAAAGAGAGGGGAAGAAACGAGGGGGAGAGGTGAGGGACAGCACAAAGTGAGGGAGAAGTTGAGGGGAGGAGAGAGCGAAGGTGGAGAAAAGTGGTTCAGACAAGAGCACCAGCGGAGTGGTGAGGGGAAGCATCACCGACAGGGATTCCGTCCTGATGAAAAGGAAAGGTTCAGGGAGGGGCAGGAAAGTCAGAATACAGTACGGGAAAGGATGAGGAGAAGCCCAAGTTCAGATAGGCACGATAGGCCATGGGGGGCGGGGGGAAGCTTAGCAGGAGCAAGAGCGGCCAGAGAAAGTATGGAGCAGATGCTGTATGATGTAAGGGAGAGGAGCAAGGGATCGGAAGCGTGGGGCAGAAGGAACAGTCAGACGGACAGAGGGGTGTCGGTGACATGGGAGAAGGGGAGGTGGAGCGCCATGGAGCTGCCCAAGGTGGAGGTACCTGTCAGATTCACAGGGAACGCGGGGACAGGGACGGGACTAAAGAATTATCTCATGCAGATAGGCAACATGAAGTATCGGTGCGATCGGAGCGGGATGGATCCAATTGAGTTCTTTCTAAGCTTATCCAATACCTTGGGAGGAGATGCAGAGACGCTGTACCGGATGAAGATGACGGAATGGTTGAGACGGGCGGAGGAGGATGACGAGGACCCGACCTCGTTGTTCCTGGAGCGGCTAAGGAAGCAATTCCCTGGGCACACGGCTGATAGGATAAGAGAGTTTCAAGAGTTTAGGCGAGGGGAGAGTGAGTCACTGCTAACGTACTTCGGAAGGTTGGTTAACTTGGCAGAAGACGTGGTATGCACAGACAGCAGCATGCTAATTAGTAAGTTCTTGGGCGGCCTGGATGAAGGGCTGAGTGGTGGGTTGCGTATGCGAGTGTATGAGTTGGGCACAGAAGCTACACTAGAGGAGGTGTTCGAGCTCGCTGAGAGGGTGGAGCTGGCGCAGAGGCGGTACGAGGCGTACCTGCCGAAGGTGTCAGAGAAGAGACAGCCCACGTGGGCTACGGTGATGATACCTGAGGACGGGGACAGGGAGGAGCAGTGGCAGGAGAAGCGACCAGAGACACGTACGTGCCACAGGTGCGGGCAGGTAGGGCATATCCAGAGAGACTGTAAGAACTGTGATGTGTGCGGAAGGCCCAGACACCGTCGAAAAGACTGTCCGAACGCACCGACCTGTGAGGAGTGTGGAAAAAGAGGGCATCAAGGCAGGAAATGCTACCAGGGAGCAGGTGGACCAAAGAGGTCACCCGGGGAAATTGAGGACGAGATTGGAAGGTTAAAAGCCCAACTCCAGGCACTGGGAGGAAGGACAGAGAGGAAGGAAGGGGAGGAGGAGGAAGAAGAGCAGGAGCCAAAGTACTCCTGTGCGGTGCTGCGTCGCCATGAAGACATGGGGTGGCGCAGTGGGGGCAGGGACGGACGAAGGAAGCAAGTGAGTAAGGTGGGGGCATGGGTGTGTGTGCAAGTAGCACCAGAAACGAAAGAGGAGGACAAGAAGGTGGGGGCAGGGGCGGATGAACCAGTAGCGGCAGGCACGGAAGGGACGGACGAGAAGGTGGGGGCATGGGCAGCAGCAGAAGGGGAAGAGAAGGACGAGAAAAAGGGGGCAGGGGCGTGTGGACTGGAAGCAGCCGGCGCGGAAGGGAAGAACGAGCAGGTGGGGGCGGGAGCGTGTGTAACAGCAGCAGCAAAGGCAGAGGGAAAGGAAGAGCAGGTGGGGGCGGGAGCGTGTGCAACAGCAGCAGCGAAGGCAGAGGGAAAGGAAGAGCAGGTGGGGGCGGGAGCGTGTGTAACAGCAGCAGCGAAGGCAGAGGGAAAGGAAGAGCAGGTGGGGGCGGGAGCATGTGTACCAGCAGCAGCAGAGGCAGAAGGGAAGGACGAGAAGGTGGGGGCACGGTCGTGTACACTTAAGGCAGAGAAGCAAGTGCAGGGAAGGATGATGGCGAACCAGCATGTGAGGGAGCTGAGGGAGGAACATCCACAGCTGCTGGGGGAGAAAATGGTGAAAGAAGCCGTGAGAGGAACGGAGACGGGTGGGAGGAGCATGGAAGTAGAGATGGCGTGCGACTGGGGGCAAGGAGACCTACGGGTAGGAGGATGGAAAGGTCCAGTGTGGAACAAAGCCTGGGAGCAGGAGGAAGCAGAAAGTGAGAGCAAGGAAATGGGGGCATGGGTGTGTCCGCCTGCAGGGGAAGAAGTAGGGCATACAATGGGAGGTGCGATAAGTCCAAAAGGAAAAAAGGCCATGAGGACAGTAAAGTGGATTATGCGAGGAATATGGGAAGATGAGCCGATGCAGCCAGCAACAGAGGTGCTGTCAGGACCAGCAGGAATGAAAGGGGCTGAGAACTGGGTGGCATGGGAGGGAGCTAAGGCAGCAGAATGCCTGGAGGAGGAGAATACAGCAGCAGCGGAGGTCATGCGTGCAGCAGAGTTGAGAAATGCACACCCACAGGCACAAGCAGCGACTGAAGCAGGGCGGCAAAAACGACAGCTACATCAGTGCAAGGGGGACAGGAAGCGTACCTGCAGAGGGGGATACTTGGAAAGTGGCACCGGACAAACAGAGAAGGGAGACGAAGGACCTGAGGGGTTCAAGAGTGCTGGTGCTGAGGAATCAGAGAAGAAAGTAGACAGGGTATCACCTGACGAATGCTGCTGTGGTGGAAAGCAACCGGCCTCAGCAAGAGTGTCCAGTGACACGTGCACGGGAGACCCGAGCACGAGCTCTGGAGGGGGCAGGTAGTGGCTGAGGCAGAGCAGGTAAGGTACCACAGGAACAGAGCTCAGAAGAAGAAGGGAGCGAGGGCGAGTCCAGGAAGGAGAAGGCAAGCCACGGGATGCAACAGAGGATGATTCTCCGACAGCTGTCACCGAATAGATTGTTAGTTGCAATATATTCAGTTACTCGCTAGTGTAGGTGTAGTTGGGGTATTCGAAGCACTGTAGAAGGAGAGTTCGGTGCGTGGGCAGTAACGCAGAGTGGTGACCGAGGGACTTGCGAGGCGCAGGGTGGGACAAATTCAAGGGCGAGCCCTGGGCAATCCGAAGGGCCAATCCTGAAGCCTAGCGGGCGGAGCCCAATGTGACTTACGGGAACTGCACGGCACGGGGTAGAGATTCAAATAGGCTAGGAACTCACTGCTTAGTTCGTTCTCTCGTTTGTTTGCTCGTAATAGTGGATATAGGTTGCCATTTGACAGCTAACTCCAGCTTAGGCGACTAAGCCACTGTGGGCAGCCATTCGTGGGGGAGGCAGAATCTCTCATGGTAGTGGCTGAGGCAGAGCAGGTAAGGTACCACAGGAACAGAGCTCAGAAGAAGAAGGGAGCGAGGGCGAGTCCAGGAAGGAGAAGGCAAGCCACGGGATGCAACAGAGGATGATTCTCCGACAGAGGAGGATCGCTCGCGGCGCGAGCGCTCACGTGAGCGTGGGCGTTCGTTGGAGAGGTCGCCGCGGCGGCCTGAGCGATCGCCACGGAGGCCGGCCTTTCGCGCGGACCAGGTCCCTCTCGCGCCAGATCGCCAGGAGGGAGGATTCGCTCGAGAAGGAAGAGACGGATCCGGATCCGTCACGATGGGGAGTGACCCGTGGCGGACGGACGAGCGCCGCGGTGCTGTTGGCGGTCATGGGTATCGCCAGGACACGGGAGCATATCGCTCGCCGGAGGAAGGCTATCGCCGTCGCGAAGATCGTAGTCGCGGGCGAGGTCTGGAGGAACTCTTCTCTGGTCGCCAGGGCGATCTTGACGTGGATGGAGGAGAAGAGGTCGACACGGCGAATCAAGTGCGGGAGACGAATCGCGAAGGCGAGACCAAGGGCGATGACGAATCCCAGGAGGAAGGCGCAGGCGAGCAGCGCGAGATGCCCGCTGGAGTCAACGACGATGATCCCGCGCATGCGGGCGTGGCGGCTGAGCCAAGCACAGCGGAGGCGGACGGAAAGAACAGTACGCGAAACCAGTCACGCGGCGGAGAGAAGAGTGACGGCGGGAAGCGCGGCAGTGGCTCGCGCTCTCCGGATCCGCGTCAGCAACGTGTCGAGGGACGCGGCGGCGGCGCGCGCTCGCCGGATCCGCGGTTGAATCGTGACGGAGGGCACGGCGGCGGTGCGCGCTCGCCAGATCCGCGGCTGAAACGCGACGGGGGACGCGGCGGCGGCGCGCGCTCGCCAGATCTGCGGTCGAATCGCGATGGGGGACGTGGTGGTGGCGCGCGCTCGCCAGATCCGCGGCAGAATCGGGACGGGGAACGCGGCGACGGCGTGCGCTCGCCAGATCCACGGCTGCAGCATGATGGGAGGCGCGGGAGCGGTTACCGCTCGCCTGAACGGCGGCCGCTGCATGAGGAGAGGCGCGGAAGCGGCTACCGCTCGCCACAACCGCGGCAGCACCGAGACAGTGGGCGCGGGGGCAGCGCGCACTCGCCGGAGCCGCGGAGGTATCACGATTGGAGAAGCGGAGGGGATTTGCGCTCAGCAGAGCCTCATCACCCTCGTGCTGAGAGATGCGGAGGTGGCTACCGCTCGCCTGACCTGCAACGGTACCGTGGAGAGAGGTGGGGAAGCGAGGCGCGCTCGCCTGACTGGCACCTGCAACATGAAGAAAGCCGGGGAGGCGGATACCGCTCGCGATATCAGCAACAGAGCAGGGGTGAAAAGCGCGGCGAAGGGTCTCGCTCGCCTGGCCGGTACTGGCAGCACGAGGGAAGACGTGCTGGTGAGGAAGGACGGGAGCGACGCGGCAGCAGAGAGGGAGGCAGCGGGCTGATGCACAGCCTGGAGCGAGCCAGGGAGGCAAGGGAGGGAATACAGCGGGCGAGAGAGAGAGGAGCATCAGGGAGATCAGCAGGAGGGCCGAGCGAGGCCTGGGGAGAAGGCAGGGGAAGCACGGCCATGGCCACGAGAGTGGAAGTGCCGACACCCTTCTCAGGAGATCAGCGCGTGGGGCCCACGCTAAAGAACTACCTGATGCAAGTGGGCAACGTGCGGTACAGATGTGAGTGGAGCGGCATGGACTCGGTAGACTTCTTCCTGAGTCGGCCGAACACACTGGAAGGGGAGGCAGAGACACTGTACAGGATGAAGATGGATGAGCTACTGGAGAGGGCAGGAAGGTACGGGGAAGACCCTACGGAAGCATTCCTGAGGCGGCTGCAGCGGCAGTTCCCAGGACACACCGCAGAGAAGATAAGGGAATTCCAGGACTTCAGGAAGGGACGGGGCGAGTCACTACTCACCTACTACAACCGACTGGTTAACCTGGCGGAGGATGTGACTTGCGCGGATATGGCCCTGCTCGTGAGAAAATTCCTAGACGGGCTGGAGGGCACTTTGGGAAGCGGGCTGCGGATGAAGGTGTATGAGATGGGGGCTGACACGACGCTTAAGGAAGTGTTTGAGCTGGCGGAGAAGATGGAGCTGGCACAGAGGAAATATGAAGCATATCGGCCTCGACCGGCAGAGCGAGGCAGGGGACCTACGTGGGCAGCAGCCATGATACCGGAAGAGAAGGATAGGGCAGCGGGAAGAGGGGAGACCAGGCCTGACACGCGGACGTGCCACAGATGCGGGCAGCCAGGACACTTGCGCAGAGACTGCAAGAACTGTGACTCCTGTGGCAAGCCAGGGCACAGGCGGCGGGAATGTCCAACGGCGCCAAAATGTGAAGTCTGTGGGAAGGGAGGATATGCAGCAAAGGAGTGTTATCAGCGAGAGGGAGCAGCGAAGAAGACGCCAGAAGAGTTGGAGAAGCAGATCAGCAGGCTACAAGCCCAGCTGCAGGCAATGGGACCACGACGGGAAGCAGAGGCGGGGATGTACGCCAAGGACGTAGAGGAGGAAGATGTGGAGCAGGATGAGGAAGCCGCGTTCATGGTCTGGGCGGGAAAAGAAGAGAATGAGATGGAGCATGAGGAGCAACCAGCGTATATGGCATGGAGAGGAAGGGAGGAGATGGGGCTGCGCAGCGGAGGAAAGGATGCACGGAAGGAGCAGATGAGAAAGGAGCGAGAGAGAGGACAGAAACCGGAAGAGAGGGAAGAGAGCTGCACCGCGGCACGGCACCCCCAGGAGAGGTTGGCTTGTCAGACTTCCGTGCTACTAATCCAAGGCGGCGTGCTGTCAGTGGAGGGGGAGAAGGCTAAGACGGCAATCATAGACACTGGAGCGCAGAGCGTGATACTAGGAAAGGGGATGGCCGAGAAGCTGGGACTGTGGGCACCTGACAGACACGTAATGAAGGGGATGCTAGTAATGGCAGCAGAGGGAGGAGAGTCGAAGTGGATGCCGTGCACAAGGACGCCAATAGAGTTGACAGTGCTGAAGGGAGAGAATCATGAAACGCCGGTCAGGATCAGATGTGGGATTTCAGAGTCTGAAGACTTTGACGTCCTGGTGGGCACAGAGATGATCTTTGCACTGGGCATGACCATCTGCTTTTGGAAGGAGACAGTGGAGTTTCGAACCAGGTGGTGGAGGAAGGGTGAGCCACTAGGGCAGCTGCCTGTGTAGTTTGTCAGGACAGAGCCAAAAAGGGCTTACACGGCAGACCTGAAGGAGGGGACAGCGAAACAGGGGGCACAGGAGAAAGCGGCAGGCAGAGGAAAGGGTGGGGAGCCCAGGATGCGCTTCATGGATGAGCCCAGCCAACAGACAGATTGGCAGCAACCCATCCGGCTGGTGGAGCTGTTCGGGGGAATAGGGGCGGGACTGGCAGCAGTGGTGCGGAACGGAATCGCAGTGAAGCAATGGGTTTACGTGGAGAAGGCGCCGGAAGTGAGGAAAATAGTGGAGCACCATGCGTGGGAGCTGCACAAAGAATTTCCAGAACTGCTGAAGGAAGAAGTGGTCAAGGCGGCAATGAGCAGAGGAGTGACCGACGTGAGGGCGATCACGGAAGCTGAAGTGGTAGGCTGGGGGCACGTGGACCTGCTGGTGGCAGGGTGGGAATGCCAAGGGGTATCATGGGCAGGGAAGGGCAAGGGTGAGCAAGACCCAAGGACCCAACCGATGGAGGATCTGTTCAGAATTATGGAGTGGGTGCAGGCTAGGCAGGGCAGGCTGGCTTATCTGCTTGAGCACTTAGACATGAGTGGGGATGTGCGAGAACCAGTGAGACTGGTGAGGGAGAGAGTAACCCAGCAGGTGGGTAAGGGGGTGAGCAGTGACACGGCGCGGATGGGAGCATACGCCCACCGGCTCAGGATGTACTGGCAGAATGTGGTGCCAGTGGAAGACCTGCAGAAAGAGATAGAAGGGGTACAGAGAGCTGGGGGGCGGAAGCTGAGCGATATACTGGAGCCAGGAAGAACGCCAGCACTAGTGAACAAGAAGAGCTACAGCAGACACTATCAGTATAACCAGGTGGGGCAGGAGAGGCAAGCACTACCCACCCTGGTGTCGTACAAGGGGGCAGCGGGATATCGGATGGACGGGGAGCAGCCGGGCCCAAGACTGGTGCATGACCATAGGAAAGGACGGTGGGAAGAGCCCGCGGCCCTGGAGAGGGAGCTGGCCATGGGGTATAAGGAGAACGCTACAGCAGCCCCTGGCGTGAGTGAGAAAGAAAGGAGGCAGGCAATGGGGAATGCCATGGATGGGTACATGATGAGGTGGTTGGTGCAGCGGATGTGGAAAGAGACAGTGCTGCATTGGGGACTGAAGGAGGGAGGAAGCACAGTAGCGACAGTCAGACAAGGGGTGTGGGCCTGCCTGCAAAAAGAGGAGCCACAGTGGAAGATAGGTGAGAGCATGAGCGGGGAAGGGAAGGCAGCAATGCGAGCATTGCTGGCTAAGCATCGAAAGGGCTTCGCCTTCACCCTGCAGGAGCTGGGGAAATGCAAGATTAAAGAGATGGCACTGAAGCTGAGCAGCGATGAGCCGGTGTTCCACCGCAGGAGGAAGATGCCACCAGGAGATGAAGCGATATGCAGGGAGAAAATGAAGGAGTTACTGGAAGCCGGACTGATTAGGAGGTCAGAGTCCGAGTACGCCACCCCAACCGTGGTGGCAGCTAGAAAGGACTTGACAGGCGAGGTGCTGAGTAGGAGGATGTGCGGGGATTACAGAGATCTCAACAAAATCACAGTGCCAGATAGATACCCAATGCCAATGGCGGAAGAGCTCTCGACAAGCTGGCCGACGGGGTGTTCTTCACGTCGCTGGACCTGCGCCAGGGATTCAATCAAATCAAGATCAGAGAGGAGGAGGATGTGAAGAAAACGGCCTTCCACGGACCGGACGGGCTGTACGAGTGGCTGTACATGCCCTTTGGCCTGAGGAACGCCTCGGCGGTGTTCCAGAGAGTCATGGTCGCGGTGCTGCGGGGAATAGAACATGCGGCATGCTATATCGATGATGTCGTGATCTTCAGCTTGACCGAGCAGCAGCACCTGGAGGACGTGGAAAGGACACTGACAGCTATAGAAGAGGCAGGGCTTGCGGAGATAACTACTACAACGGGAGCTAGACTATGGGCTAGGCACGGGTGCTCGTGTGATCTCTGCGTTCACTTGTTCCTTAGTCGTTTCCAAGTGCTCACACTACTTGCTAGTTCACAGGGAGAATTGGCAAGAGTTTCACTAGGAAAGGTTGACAACAATGGTACAACGAAGTTGGCAAGACTAGACTACATCAGAGCTAGCATGCAAGCAAGTCTACTGCCAGCGCAACACGGTCGACCGCGTGCCAGCACGACTTGGTCGACCGCGCTCCAGCAGTGCAGAGTCGCGGCTTTCCAATGTTGTAGGTCGACGGCGTGCCAACGTCGCAGGTTGACGGCGTGCCAACGTTGCTCCCGCAGGACAACAGCGCACCCGCTTCGCAGGTGCTCGCAGATGATTGGCGTGCAGTGCCTCGTCACCTGCACAACGCACACACCAAGTCAACTTCGTGCTGACGACTGCTTCTGATCAGCCACGTCGACCTCGGGATACCACCACCGAGGTCGTCCTCGCCAACATCGCCTGGGCGACCGTCGCGTGCCTTCGCAGAACCTCGTCACCCAGGTAACCTGGTCGACCGGGCAACCACGTCGACCAGCTGCTCCTGTATGTGCCGGTCGACCTCCCAAGTCGACGGCCACCTCCAGACGACCTCCTTAGGTCGACTACTATGTTCGGTCGACCAACCAGGTCGACCAGAAGGCCTGGTCGATGTACCAGGTCGACCAGAAGGTCTGGTCGACCAACCAGGTCGACCAGAAGGCCTGGTCGACCAACCAGGTCGACCAGAAGGTCTGGTCGACCAACCAGGTCGACCAGAAGGCCTGGTCGACCAACCAGGTCGACCAGAAGGCCTGGTCGACGTACCAGGTCGACCAGAAGGCCTGGTCGACGTACCAGGTCGACCAGAAGGCCTGGTCGACGTACCAGGTCGACCAGAAGGCCTGGTCGACGTACCAGGTCGACCAGAAGGCCTGGTCGACGTACCAGGTCGACCAGGAGTTCTATCAGCCGACCACCGAAGTCGGCTACCCCAAGTTGACGTCACCAAGTCGACGCCCCGGTCGACTTCCCAGGTCGACCTTCCTGAAGTCGGCGCCATCCTGAAGTCGGCGCCCATGCAGTGGCACCCGTGCAGGTCGACTTCCTCGTCGACCAGCTCGCCCACTGCTGCAGGTCGACTGCACCCCTACACCCGACCACGAAGTCGGCTCCGCCCAAGCGAGGACGGGGCCAACACACAACTCCCGTTGACAGGGCTCACGTGCCAACCTAACAAATGCAGATGGGGGGAGCAGACAGTGTAGTACCTGGGGTATGAGGTCACAGGGGGGCAGATTGGGATCCAGCAAGCGAAGGTGCAGGTACTGGATAGACTGAGGGAACCGAGAGACAAGACAGGGCTGCGCGCGGTCTTGGGCTTCCTCAGCTACTACAGACGCTTCGTGCCGAACTTCAGCAAGAGAGCGACGGTGCTGAATGGGATGCTGCGAGAGGACAAGGCATGGGAGTGGGGAGAAAAGCAAAGGGAGGCACTGCAAGACCTCATGACAGCCGTAAAGACGGCAACAGTGTTGCGGCTGCCAGCAGCAGACCAGCCCTTCATCCTCTACACCGACTGGAGCAGCCAGGGGATGGGGGCAATACTGTGCCAAGAGGTGGAGGGAGTGGAGAAGGTGGTGGCCTACGCCAGCAGGAGCTGCAACTCAGCGGAGGCACAGTACAGCTCATACATCGGGGAGGGGCTGGCGGCAGTGTGGGCGGTAGGGCATTTCCGGATATACCTGCAGGGCAGAGAGTTCACCTTAGTCACGGACCATCAGCCACTCACCTGGCTGATGACCACACCAGGGCTGACAGGGAGGAACGCGCGGTGGGCAGTAAAGCTGCAGGAATATGATTTCAAGATCAGGCACAGGCCGGGGAAGACGCTGCAGCACGTCGATGGCCTCTCCCGCAACCCACCGCCGCTGGAAACAGAACAGGTAGCACAGGGGACGGAAGAGACAGAGCAGGAGCCAGCGCAGACCTTGATCTTGCTGGGAAGAGAGGTGGAGCAGGCCGGTGCAAAAGGGGGTAAGGGACCAGCTGACATCTGGCAGGATGAAAAAGCAATGGAATGGGTGAATGGAGAAACCGAGGAAGATGAGACAGTGCCCGAAAGGGTGAGGGCACGAGGGCACCACTACAGGTGGTATCAGCAGCAGCTGCAGATCAAGACGGAGGATGGCTGGAAGCTGGTGCCAGCGCCCAAGGATCGTGAAGCAGTGATCAAGGAAGTGCACACTAAGCTGGGACACTTCGGGCACGAGAGGACCGTGCATCTGCTGAAGACGGGCTGGTGGTGGGAAGGGATGCGCAGGCAAGTAAAAGAGTGGGTGGAGGGGTGCGAGGCGTGTCAGAGGAGCAAAGCAAACCTGACGCAGGCCAAAGCAGAGCTGCATTCACTGCCCATCTGCGGGCTGGGGTTTCGATGGTCACTAGACCTCGCGGGAGAGTTGCCGCTGAGCAGGAGCGGGAATCAGTATATAGTGTTCATGGTGGAACATGCTAGCAAGTGGCTGGAGGTGAGAGCCATCCCTAGCAAGAGCGCGAGGCACATTGCAGCAGCCTTCAAAGCGCAGGTGGTGTGTCGATTTGGAGCGTGCGGGGAGGTGCTCACAGACCAAGGAACGGAGTTCCAAGGGGAGTTCAAGAAGTTGCTGGAGGAGTCTGGCATCGCGCACGGAAGGACCTCCCGCTACCACCCGCAGAGCGACGGGCTGACTGAGCGAGCAGTGCAGACCTTTAAGCGGGGACTGCGGGCCTATGGGGAGCAGAGGAAGAGAGATTGGGATGAGGAGTTGGACTGGATAGCAGCAGGGTACAGGTTCGGGAAACAGGCAGCACTGAAGGATCATTCCCCGTACAGCCTACTTTACGGACGAGAGCCCATACTGCCAGTGGGGGCACCGCGGGTATTGACAGACACAGTGACAGCGGGCACGATCAAGAACTGGGTAGCCCTGTCCGAGGTGAGAGCGCGCTACATGCGCTACATGATGCCAGCAGCGCTGGAGAACCTGCACACCGCACAGCTGAGAGATGCAAGGAGATATGAACAGAGGCAGCGCAAGGGAGAGGGACGAGCGGCAAGGGGCGTCAGCGAAGGACAGGAAGTTTATCTGAAGAGAGCAAAGCACGACACTCTGGATGTGGGGTTGGGGACAGTCCGCTGGAAGGTCAAGGAGGTGCGCCCCTCGGGGGTGCTGGTCTTAGAGAACGACACAGGGGCACAGTTGAGGGAACATCAGACGAACACCGCGGTGATCAGAGGGACCGGGCCTCAGCGTAATGGTCCTGTGACCCGCGCTCGAGTCGCTCAAGCACGGGCACAGGAGGGGGCAGAGGGTGGCTGAGGCAACAAGGGAAGTTAAGAAGAAGGCAGGAAGCAGAACGCAGGCAGATGATGGCATAGCTGTATCTCCGACAGGTAGCATGGGGGTGAGTGGTAGCAGACGACGTGGAGCAGCAACTGGTGGGCCACTGCATGGCGGTGAGTGGGAATGCGTGCGTGGTAGGACAGAAAAGATATTCTGCATGGGGGTTCTGTCACACAAGAGAGCTAGTTTCCCACATACATAGTTGTGAAAAATGTTTTCGCTCCTTTCTCCTCTCCCCCTCCCTCCCCTCCGACCCCTCTTGCCCACATGCCTTGTGTGGCCAGGTAGCAGCTACTGTAGCAGCGATGTCCCCGCTCATTGTGTTCATCCCAGGCGCAGACAGAATCGCAGCGGCGCACTATGAGATGCCCCTCCCTTCAGATCTCATTGCCCCCCCCTTCAGATCTCATTGCCCCCCCCTTCAGATCTCATTGCCCCCCCCTTCAGATCTCATTGCCCCCCCCTTCTCCACATGCGTTCTACTCTTAGGTGGTACGCACCGTAACTGCTACGTCGCCGCTCATCGTGTTCATCCCTGGCGCAGACAGAATCGCAGCGGTGCATTAGGAGAGGCTCGTGAGGCTGGAGCGCATGGAGCGCATGGAGCGCATGGAGCGCATGGAGCGCATGGGGTGGTGGGGGGCAGACAGAGAGGCAGTGGGCTTGTGCTACATCTGAAAGCTATCCTTCCGCTCATTCACCCCATCACACCAATCCCCTTCTCCTCCCTCCCCCCCGATTTCAACCCATGCATTGCACTCCCAGGTGGCTGCAACCGTAGCGGCAACATCGCCGCTCATTGTGTTCATTCCAGGTGCAGACAGAGTAGCAGCG